CAGCTCCGACAGAACACAGACCAACTTTTACCTGCTGTCTTAACAGCGCGTTTTAGAAAATACCACAAATGGCGCGGTAAACGCCATCTGTAGTACGATGCTACATTTTAGGATTGCGTATGTTCCAACATGGTCCATTTAAATATATGGATATTTACTTGCTGAAACGAATCCTGGCGTAGCACGTTACAATAATCGAATAAAATAATTCGAAGTGGTCTGTATTCCGTCGAAACTGCCAGACGCGGATCGCGATTTCGATCTTTTAGGATCTCATCAGCGCGTCGCAGACAGCTCCGACAGAACACAGACCAACTTTTACCTGCTGTCTTAACAGCGCGTTTTAGAAGATACTACAAATGGCGCGATAAACGCCATCTATAGTACGATGCTACATTTTAGGATTACGTATGCTACAAGGTCCATTTAAATATATGGATATGGTACGTGTCCTCCTAGTCTTAGAACTGACGACGTTATGATGATGATGATGATGATGTACTTCAGATAGGAATTAAAGCGTTAGAGTTTTTATTGTTTCTTATGTTTAATTGACCTCAAAAAATGACAAAATCGTAGATTGCTACCATTTAAAAAAGTGCTTTTTTGAGATCTAAGTAATAAAAGTTCGCCTTTCAAATTTTTGAGTTTTGCTAGAAAAGTACCTATGAATTTGTTCCATATACACGTCAATAGAAAAGTTGTAGAGATTACATTTTCAATAGAAGTGCCACTTTCAGAAGTCAAAAGCAGTTTCTTTCACAATACGCCCAATAAACAAAAAAAATGCATTTTTTTTTTATTTTAGCCCGTAACTGTTTTTTTGGCTACATTTAGATGTAGACATCGATGCATAAAAAAGAAACCTGACGCTTTAAAACATTTTAACGACCGATACATAGTGTTTCAAAGTTTGCAACTTTTAATATTTTGCTGATTTTTACAATATTTTTTTATTTCAAATTTCGTCCTGTAATATTTTTTCTGCGTGAATTTGAGAACAGACATTACATTAAACTGAAAACTGACTTCACGCTCGTTAAAATGGTAACAATTAGATACAACGTTTCGAAGATTGTTACTACTTTTATTGACTTTTTCTAATTTCTATGTTATTTTCCAAATTTCGATGTATTTCTTAAATACTTTAAAATGTGCAGATAGAAAGATGCCGATGAAGAATTCTACGTTGATTTTGAAAATATATTAAACCCAGCATTTGAATAATTTAATAAATAATGTACAATCAGAAATGTCATATTTTAGGGTCAATTGAACATACGAAACAATCAAAAACCTTTAACGTTTTAGATCTTTTTAATCCTATTTGTTTAAACACCGACAATAGCCTATTAAACAACTATGATGTGAACTAATTTCATAACAAAATAAAATAAATGATGAATCTAATCTAGATATATACGAAACTTATTTGTGGGTATATTATATTTTAAATACATTTATTTATATGGTAATTACTTATTATTGTTATTAAATTGTTGGTTTTTAGGAAATACTTGAGCTGTTATCACTGCATACAAAGCATGGTGCGATCTTTGAGGTTCACTTATACTTTTCCGTAAATTATAGATAATGATATTAATTGTAATTTGGCTTAGCTCTTGGTGAAACATTTTTCAAAATAATTCATGAAATAACAACACTACTCTAAGGACTAAATATTAAATAAAAAATAGTGAAACAAAACCAAATAATGAATGAAGAAATATTATCCAAGAAATCCCTAAATATACTTTTTTGCAGTCTTTTCGATCTCTGCGAAGTCGATATTGCGTAGGAAAGCAAAATTCACACGTACATGCCACCCACACACACACACACACACACACACACATGACTGGAAAGTTAATTATTATAGTTATACAAGGTCTGCTCAAAAAGTATTGCGAATACACTTGTGTCAACGTTTTTTTCCAATCGATATATTTAGGTTCTCAGTAACTTCCTTTGACGGTAATTGGACGATTGCCCAAAACTATTTTCTTCAGTTTATCAATGTTTGTTGTTGACGTGCTCGGGCGTCCAGTACCCTCTTCATCGTTCATATCTTCTCGGCCCCCTGAGAACATTTTATACCACCGATAAAGGTTGTTTCGGTTCAAGGTAACTTCACCATACGCCATTTAATTTTGTTTTTCACACAAAATTTGAAACAGATTCTTTGATCCATTTTTTGGAATAGGACAAAATCGTAAAAATTTAAGTGAGAGACATGAATACCAACATAACGCCACAAAAAAAATCGAAAATAGAATATACGTAACCCTCGGAAATTCAAAATTCACGATACTTTTTGAACAGGGCTCATACAAAGCATAAGAAGCAGAAAAACAGAAACGTGCACGTGATAGCTATGAAGTTAGAATAAATGACGATATACCAAGTCAGCGTTGATAGACCAAAAAGGCGAAATCGACTAAACAGAAAAGAATTTACTAATAGAGAAAGTTATTCAACCATTTCATAATAAAAATGTGATCTATAATCTAGAATTATATTTCAATTTTTTATGATGTTTTGGATGAGGCTTTTCGGCCACAACTTGAATTCACAATTTTATTTTCCGTTCTTCCTCTCTTTATAATCAACGTGTAATCAAAACTAAAAGGGGTAAAAAGTTTTTATTTTTAATACAATTGTTGTTATTTTGGTTTGTTAAATACCGAATACTTATGCATTTTTCCGAAAAAGAAATTCCATCCACTTTACATCATTATTAACTTCAAAAACCAGGTAAGCTCCGATAATAAAATCAATAAGTAACATTACGTATGTACATTGTAGCCTTGAGACCGCTCGACAATCTAGAGCGAAACGTTGGAGGTTGTTTTTGAATAATAAATAACTTTTAACCCTCATTGACTTTGATTACACGTTGAATTCACAATATCTCATTTTGCATACATACCTAATACCTACATACATAGGTACATTATTTATGGAAGATAAGTTTTTTATGTGAACGGAATATGTTCCGTGATCATTCTAAGACTAACGACTGCCGAGACCAATTTGTCATCGTTTGTCTTAATCCATCTGCTTTAAGAAGGAAAATATAATTACGGTTTCCGGAAAACTCTGTCAACAGATTTTACCCTTCCGAATTATTCCAAAAGGAAAACTTAGTATGACAGTGATAAAATAATGGTATATGTGGATAGCATCATCCAATCAAGTTGTAATTCGTCAAAATTCAGCAGTTATTGAAATCATTCAATTCGCCGTTTCCTAAAATATCGTAATCTGAACAAGTATTCATCATTAGATCATTTTAGAAGTTTAATACAGTCAAACAATTACTCTATAAACAAAAATTTATTAAAACTTAAACTGTTTTTGGTACAACTTTTGTGAAACTGAGTGATTTCAAATATTCAATAATTGAACAAACTGAAAAGTTTCACTAATATTTTTTATCCGAATCAACAAATTTATTTCAGCCGATGCGGCCACTAACGAAAGAATACAAAAGATTAGGTTGTAAAGTTAACCTACCTAATGCTATTTATATTTACAGTTTATGTAAAAGTAGCGGGAAGTTATATGTCGATCATTATCATAAGGTCGTCAGTCCTAAGACTGGACACGCACCTCCACTTTTTCCTATCCTGAGCTAATCTTCGCATTTCCCTAAAACTAGAACAACCCATATCCTTAACGATTTGCGAACAGTAATCTAATCTAGGTCTACCTCTACCCCTCCTATCTTCCGTATCTGCCTCTAATATGTCTCTGACTAGCCCTTCATGCCTGAGAAGGTGTCCTACCAACCTATCTCGCCTATTTGCTATTGACTTCCGTAGAGTCCTCTGTTTTTTTACTCTTTCTAATACCTCTTTATTTGTAACTTTCTCTATCCACGGTATCCTCATCATTCGCCTGTAACACTACATTCATACAAACGCTTCTAATCCGCGCCCACCGTCCATGTTTCGCACCCGTACAGCACCGCGCTTCAAACATACACCTTTAACAATTTTATTCGAATGTCTAAATTAACCGTTAGCAAGCATAGAAGTGACTTCTTTTTATTGAAGGCGACTCGACCCTGCACTATCCTCTGCTTTATATCCTTACTACTCCTTCCGTCCTGACTTATCTGACTTCCTAGATATCTAAAATCGGCCACCAAGAACAGTTTTATAGAATTCGGTATATTTGTATGTAGTATTTTTACGTTAACAGTGTTGAATGAATGTTTTTGATTTATACAGTGTTCGGGTATCCCACTGGAGTTGCTTTTTTTATTTTTTATTGCAGACATGCAATGTTCATTTACGCATATAGATATAGCTCTACCAGATTATTCAATGTAAGTGGCATCACACAAGTTGCAAAAAATTTGGTAAACACCGCTTTTTTCGATAATCGAGACCATCTTTGTGATTGGTTAGGAAGTTTTCCAGATTTTTCTCAATAATGTTACAGTTGCACTTTTTTGAAACAAATGCTTGAATTCACAGCTAAACTTATTTATAAATAGAATGTTTCTATAAATAGATTTTTGGTGATAGCGAGGACCGTTGTTGTACAATAATTTTTTGATTTGTTTTTTCAATTTGTTATTTAACATTTTATCAATTAGAATAGTGGAATATTCATTTATAACTGAAATGTATTATATTGTTTGTAATTAGTCGAGTCAATTAAAAAATACTAGTGAAACTTTCCAGTTTGTTTTATTTTTGAATGTTTAAAAATTGATTGCTTGCTGAAAGAACCTCGTTTTATATTGTACATCTTTTTTCTTCCTAAATACAGACGGATTTTCGGTTTTATCACAAAAAGAATGGAGAGTATCCATTCTAGTTCCTTTTATTTTTATTATTCGCATTGCTCTGAATGCGCATACATCTAAACTTAAATCAATGGGTTCGTTCAATTGGAATGCTGCCAAAATGGAAACCTGCGAATGGCTACTTTCAAACTGAAAGTCAGATATGGAGTCCAATACCTAGATCGCTATATATGAATACCTATCATCGAGAATACAAAAGATATGGACGTTGTTTTTGACTACAGGAATTTTATCAAAAATATCGATTGCAAAAGAGAAAATCGGAAAATGTAGACTTTTAAGACTCCAGAATTTCTGCATTTATGAAGTCTAAAATAAATTCAAAATTTAAGAAATCTCACCGATGAGTGGAAGTTGTACCATAGTCAGATTAAATTTTAAGTTTGATTTTTTTACAATCTCGCAAACTCTAACAATCATTATTTTATTAAAAACATGCATTTTGAATTCGGGTAAGTAATTGTATTTTAGATTGATTTCTAAAAGATTTTTTTTTAATTTACCGATTTTCGAAACTGCAATAATTTTCAATGGGTATACTTTTTGGTTTATAGCATTGAAAGTTATAAAAATAGGAATAATTCAAATCCATTCATGATATCTGGGCATAATTTTTTATGTATAGTGACTATATAAGCGATAAACATCATTAAAGACAGGACAACTTCAGGGATAAATATACAAGAGCAAAAGATTAGTATGCTTTTAGATTTGCAAATTTTACAGCAGTATTGGCATCTAGCAAGGAGGAGTTACAGATAGTTATAAAAAAATGGAAGCGATATTGACAAAACAGTATTGTATGAAAATAAATAAAAGTAAAACAAAAATAATGATATGCAAGAAAAGAAAAAGTAGGGAAAGAGCGAATATAAAAATAGAAAAAATAGATAATTTTCGGTATCTAAGAAGTCAGATAACAGATAGAAAAAGCAGTAGAGATATAAAATAGAGAATAGCGCAGAGTCAAAAAGAAGTCACTTCTACGATCGCCAACGGTTAATTTAGAAATTTAAGAAAGATTGTTAAAGGTGTTTGTTTAGAGCGCGGCGCTGTGCAGGTGCGAAACATGGACAGTGGGCGCGGCGGGAAAAAAGGGTTAGAAGCGTTCGAAATGTGGTGTTATAGGCGGATGATGAGAATAACGTGGGTAGAAAAGGTTAGAAATGAAGAGGTATTGGAAAGAATAGGAGAACATAGATCACATTGGGAGTCAATAAGAAATATGCGAGATAGATTGGTAGGACAACTTCTCAGACATGAAAGGCTAGTAAAAGACATATTAAAAGCAGAAACAGGAGTTAAGAGGAGTAAAGTTAAGAGCCTAGATTATATCACCAGTTTCAAGAAAATGCGAAAATCAGCTCAGGATAAGAAAAATTAAAGCTGCGTGTCTAACCAGTCTTAGGACTGTCAACCATATGAAGAGTGATTACATAATATTTCAATTGCACTTTAAAATCTCCTGTCTAGCTTAAGTAAGGAACTTGTGAAATGGTTCCTAATTTTAGAAAAAATATTAATATACTCATATTTAGGTAGGTACTGGAGTCTCTCAAAGCTCAATCCCCGGTAAGGGTTAATAAATAAATGACATTTGTTTGATTCGTCTTTATATGACAAGCATTTACATACTTCAAAATAAGAAAACAACGACACACTTTCTACGCCATATTGTGCGATTAACAAAATAAAACAATTATGAAACTCATCATATAAAAAACAACTCCACATCTAGAAAGTTTCTAAGGAAAATCAGAATTCACGGAGAAAAGCTAGTAACTAATAAAATATGAAAAGAGTACGTGATACGTCTTAAAAGGAAAATGTAATGCTTGTTTTTGCTTTCGTTACTCAGATGAATCGTAAAAAATGAAGTGGTAAAAAGGGGTTATGTAATACCTATTTTGTTTTTCTTGAGAGGCACGTCTACAACGCCATCGCTTGCCATGCATTTAAAGTACTTTTCCAAATGTTCGCCGATGTAGAGTCGATTTTCTATTCTTTTTTGTTCTTCTTTTATTCGTTCGAATTCTTCTTCTATTCGAAATTTGTCGAATTGAATGCTTGCGAGAATGTTACAATTTATTCGTTGATCAGCGGGCAGAGAATACACCTGCTCCACTGGTGAATAATTAAACAAGATAATTAAATTCGAAAACGAAACAAATTTCTATTAAAATTTTGCTTTCATTGTTTTAAGCAATTAAAATCTGTAACCTTATAATAAGAATAGTCTGTGTAGAATAGCACAAGTAAGTAGAATCAATTTTTGTAATAAACTAGGATTAATATCCCCATACCTATATCAGCATGGCAGAAAAGCACGAATATGTAACTGATTAACTAATTCAATTTGTCAATAAATATTTCTATAAAATTGGACCTATTTAAAAATGATTTTAATGTGTAAATGAAGTGAATATATTTAAACTAAATTTTATCGATTTTTATGAAAACAGGATCGCTCCAAAAAAATCTAACACCTAACAGTAAAACGTTGTAGAACAAATTAAATTTTATAACGTCAGGAATAAACCATTAAACATAAGTTTTACGATTTCAAGGAGTTAATAGATATTCTCTGCATAATGAGGCATTTATCTGATTCATTTTTGGTTTAATTTCTTGGATTAGTTGTTTATGTTGTTCGTAAAAAGTAAAATTTGAGGACTTCGCAAAATGACGAAGATACAGAACTAAAACAAAACTCCATATTTTCATGAAGATAACAATACTATTCTTCCTATTTCCTACTTCTGTTACACCCTATTGTAGCCAGCACGAGCGTGTTTGTATACCATCGGGCACACGTGTGCGTGAACGGCTTATCGATTCGCCAACTAGCCGCGGGCGCCTTTCTTCATGTGCGCCGTATTTGTAAATGTCTGTGACATACCTGCGTTGTGGGAAAGCAGTTAAACAGTTTAAAGAAAAAAATAAACTATCCAGATGTTTCGAGAAGGTTCCCGAAAGTAAACAAAAGAGTATTTAAAGGAAGAGACGATCGCCGAGGAGGAGAAATAAATTGACCATTGCAGAAGTGAATCCAGAAATAAAATGACAGCAGTGAAATAAATAGCGCAGTGAATAGTGATATATCAACAGTAGTGTAAATAAATAGAATAATTCATAACCTAAGTTTAGTAATAATTTAATAGTGTTCTTTAATAATTAATAATAGTTTTTGTCGTTATCAGTCTTAGAAGTTAATTTTGTTAAACCCACGAACATTACACTATAATCGTTTGAAAATAACAAGAACAGGACTATCGATATCTAAACATTCTTCTAATCTGTAATTACTTCCTTAAAATTTATATATGTATGGTCATATAGGTGCCATGCTAACTATTTATTTCTTAGTCAATGTTTTTAGAATTTGGATGATCACTGGGATATTATTTATGCTATTGTACCTAAGTTATAGTGTAGATAGTTTTTTCGACAGAAAAACATAATTCAGCTAGATTTTGCTTTCTACTAACCTATGTGATTCCTTTCATCTTCGATGTTAAGTATTTTCTCACAAGAATTCCGAAAATGAAACATTTCTCTTCGAAGTTTCAATAAGCAAAAGTAGTTCTTCTGTAAACATTCGTAACACGACGGGCTGCCAAGTTGCTTCGACATCGAACGCATCACAACCGAGCTGGAATGTTTTTCTTCTTCCTTAGACTGCAAAGCTTTCGCTATTTCTTGAATAACCACATCCTGATTGTCCAGAATATCGTAAATGTTTCCTTCTAGCTGCATCATGTGCTCATGGAGGTGCATTAATGTCGTTTTCACGCCTTCCTGTTTGCAAAATCGTTTCATCGCCAAATTCAAATTAATGTTGTCTTCCATTGCATACGGGTCACACTAGAATAACACACAAACCATACAGAAACGGAACGCTTTATTTAACACTGCATCCTTTCGAGTTAAGATGTGATTTTTGATGTTCTCATCCTTGCTTAACAAAGTATAATAAAGAAAAAATAAATTTATTGGTATTTACATCCTAATCAGTATATAACAACAGACAAATGCTCAGTGGAATTGACCCAGCCGAATTTGTGGATTTATGTAATAATAGAAATAAATTGGGAACATAACATGGGGTTAGTACATAAATATGTACCTAAAACATCATCAGGTATACCTACATATTTAGTTTTAAGTGAGATGTTTAGTAAGTCATTGATCACTAAAATAAACATTTCAAAATTAAACGATCTGTTTTTAAAAGCTGATATTATTGGAGGTTTTAATTGTTACAAGTTGATTAAAGGTCATCCCCTTGTTCCTTATTTTATTCCCTAAAACCGTTTTTCATGAAAATTGAAGCCCAAAGGATGATTCACGAAATTACAGTGATTGGTTTCGTTAGCACACCGAGCAGCTAGCTTAAAGGTTTAAACCACTGCTTAGCAGTCGGGAAAACACCGCTTCAATTGTGGTCCGTCTGCTCTGCTTCATGTTTTTCTGTGGTTTTCTTGGATCACTTAGGTAAATGCGGGGGCAGTTATAATAATCCACAGATAATCCTTCAGTCTTCACTGTCTCTATATCGTCCGTCTGTCCTGCTCTATGTTTTTCTGTGGGTTTCTTGGATCACTTAGGCGAATGCAGGGGCAGTCATAATAGTCCACAGATAATCCTTCAGTCTCCACTGTCTTCATATCGTCCGTCTGCCCTGCTCTATATTTTTCTGTGGTTTTCTTGGATAACTTAGGCAAATGCAGGGACAGTTATAATTGTCTATAGATAGCCTTCACTCTCCACTCTCTTCATCATCGACGTTTACTAATGGACATGCCTTAACGGTCAGAATTGTGGTACAATAAAAGAAGGAGATAGAATGATGTTTCGGATAATATCCATCTCTTTCACGATGGTGCGTAAGCGTGTCATGAAAGAGATAGCACTAGTCCGAAACCATACGCCATCTCCCTCACTTTTCGAGCCAAGAAATTATTACAATGACATACGGCTAAGGCACGTCCATTGACATATGCCTATGCTCTTCATATCGTCCGTCTGCCCTGCTCCATGTTTTTCTGTGGTTTTCTTCTTAGGCAAATGGAAGGGCCATTATAACCTTCCACAGATCGTCCGTCTTATCTTTCTTAAACCAATCACCACGTACCCATTCCCACGATGAAGAAAATCTTCCAGCCTACCCTTCGACATATTCCGGAGAGAATGGTTGCTCACCAGCATTAGTGGGTGGGAATGAAGCACCCATAAGTTTTTCCCAATATATCAAAATAAAAATCTTAACACTCTACGTTCAAAAACAGGGTGCGAGACGACTGGTCACATAACCCATGCGTATGTAGGGGTATATGTCCACACGTGCAGAAAACCCAAAAACATCGAAAAAGCAGAATAAGACGAAAGCAGTAGTTGCAGAAGCTTTAAGAATACATTACAACACAATTAAAGAATTCTTCAAACACGTACTATGGAAACAGTATTACAGTGGGATTTCATTATTGAACAATAAGTTTTCCAAGTCTGCCTTAAGATACCTATCATGCTTTATGATTATGACGGTTCCAGGATTTCTGAATGAGTGCACAGGGTTAAGTGATCTCAGTTTTGGTATTATTAAAAACATACAACAGTAATAGTAATGGTAAGAAATATACCTACAGCCAATTTCAATTTGTTAGAGTTGTGACCTTGAAGGAATCTGCGCGAAGATAGAAAGAATACACACTAGGCGTGAGCAAGACAGAAATAGTAAGAACAAGATTGAATGAGCATAGCTCTCGATGGGCGGTCTTGGGAGAGATCGGCTAGAACTGTAGAGTACTAGACGAAAATGTTTAGCAATTTCATAAAACAAAAACGTATATAAATTAACAACAGAAAACAAAGTAAAAGTTTTATAGGTGTGTAAAGTGTTAAGTTAATTCACTTGTTATTATTTTTGGCTAAATATGCTTTTAAATAAAGCATATTCTTAAAATTTAACGAGGCAGTTAAAATAATTTTGCAAATAGTACTGTACACTTTTGTCTAGTTCTCGCTCGATGATCGGTGGTGAAATGAGCTCCGCAGAGAAATATGATTGAATTTGGAATTATGCTACGGCGCATCCTAATAAAGGGAAGGGGCATATCTCNTTTAAATAAAGCATATTCTTAAAATTTAACGAGGCAGTTTAAATAATTTTGCAAATGGTACTGTACACTTTCGTCTAGTTCTCGCTCTATGATCGGTGGAGAAATGAGCTACACAGACAAATATGATTGAATTTGGAATTATGCTACGGCGCATCCTAATAAAGGGAAGGGGCATGTCTCTAACTTCTTAAAACGAATAGTACTTATAATACTACTGCTAGAGACGGGCGATAAATTTCACTCCTTTCTTTTAATTTTGTTCATCAATTTTGACACCTTGCGATAATTTAATTTGCTTTTAGAATAAAGCGTGATGGAGGTTCCACAGAACACAAATTAAAACGAACGCAAACGCAATTATAGTGGCAGAATATTGCCCTCTCTTTATCATTTTTTGACAGTCCGGGGAAGGGGGGGGGGGCACGTGGCCATATGTCCTGCTTTGAATCCATGCTCTATCAGGACTTTGGGGTAGCATTTGACACACGAAGTGTTATGCAGTAGATGTATTTTTATCCTATTTTATTAATATCCATAGTTGAATAATGCAATCCATTTGCTTGTAACAGTTAATCTGTTGGAAATTCTAGTGGCAGAATATTGCTCTTACTCTTTACCATTTTTTGACAGTCCGAGGGGGGTGGGCACGTGGTCATATGTCCTCCTTCGAATCCACGAGGTTCCATCAGGACATTGAGGTAGCATTTGACACATGAAGTGTTATGTAGTATCTGTACTTATGTTTTATTTTATTTTATTAATATCCATGGTCGAATATTTCTGTTTGAAATAATAGTAATTCTCATGAAAATCCACTTTTTTTTTCGTGCTAACCTTCAATTTTTGTTGTTATTTAAAATGATTAGTAAAATAGGTTGATTTCAGTGGTTTTTGCAGGTGTCATAAGCGCATGCCTGAGGTGGTAATCGATAAGCCAGCACGTGCTGACGAGATCTGAATGCTTCTGACGTAAATCGGATACAGACATGACATACACCAAGACTTTTGCGATAAAAGAATCAAACTTCTCCGGAAATATAGGGGAACTATATGTCATGACCGCATAAATATGTAACAGATAGCCGACAGACGATAGTCGATTATAAAGAGGTGATATTAATAGTGCGAAAAGAGTGATAATACTACACAGTGAAATCAATATGTAACCGAATGTTACTTTGTAAAATAAGTTGCTTATGTATTATGTATGTTTAAATAAATACCTAAAGAAAATCTAGAAAATTCGTTTGATAAGATTACACGCCTCAGCAGCCGTCATGTAATCTCATTCCATAACATAACAGCAATGATGATCTCACGATTTTCACCTGCTCCTGCCCCTATTATTATGCTTTTGCTTTATTCGTTACTTCTATTACTTTTCTATTTAACTTTCGCATCTTCTTTCGATATAAAAAATACCACAAATGGCGCGGTAAACGCCATTCGTAGTACGATGCGTTTGACAGTTTCGACAGAATACAGACCACTTCGAATTATTTAATTCTTTCGATATATTATCTTCATGTACATCTTTAGTGAAATGTTTATAGAGAATTTTCATTTTGCGTTGAAAATTACCTACTGTAACCGCTTTTAAATCTGCACCACCAACATTCAGCAGATTAACCCCGGTTAGTTCCGTAACTCGTCGTAATACCGCTCATGAGGGCGCCTCGCGGAATCCGTCGCACGACTCACCAACGCTACACTACCACGGAAGGCTACTCTCTCTCAGTACCACTACCCCTAGCAGTACAGCGCTGAGCAACCCCTACCTATACGAGGGTGAATAAAAGGAGCTTCCCGCAGAGACCTCTACCTCCAGCTCTTCTAGCAGCTTTCCCGTTGATGGAACACTAAAGTGGGAAAAATAGATTAAACACTCTTCTTCCAGGAGTTTTCCGAGATCGAAACCCTTGGCCACTGCATTAAGGAAAAAGAACAACAGTAGTGATCAGTGCGATTCGTAGGACCTGATGACAAACTTGTGAAGATCAAAACTTTAAGTAACTTTAGTTAGGGATAGACCCTTTTGTAGGCTTTTGGATTATTCCTTTCTTGACGTTTTTTTGGTTTAGTTTGTATAAGTGATACCTGTTCCTTTTGGTCAAGTTGGACTGTTCATTTGCTGTACGTTTATTTGTTAGAGATTTTAGGTTAAGTTTTCATTGTTATCCGCATACCAATAAAATACCAAGTCTCACGCGGACTCACGTTAAAAAAAACACCAAAAAATATATTGATTATATTAATAAAGATTAGTTAAAGTGTTGTTGGTAGTTGTGTTACTTTACCATTACGTTACACTACCGTATTTTTTCATTATTATCAGGTCGCGTACTACATTAAATTACTGACAAGTGTATATTACCTGTATCCTACCATAATATTTATCTTTTATAAGGTTAAAACAATCTTTAAGCAGAACAGAATTTTCTTTTTTAGTAGTCTTAAAACTTATTTAATCAATAAACGATTTTGACGACTCATGCTACAGTTTAATTATTTGGATGGTTTTCCCGAATTCAAAGACTTTCAGTTAAGCGTTGTATTTTTTAACAAAGAAGAGGGATCATAGACAATAGCTTCTGAAATTTGTGGGTGTCATTGTTAATCGCCCAAGTCATTCCGCCTGTCAATTTTCAAGAACAAATGGCGAAAATTTGCTAACAAGTTCTTTAAAAGTGATCCCTTTTTTTGAAACTTAGTTCACGACTTCACAGGGCCTGTCAATATGTTAAAATGTGTGATAAATGATCTTACCGTCTGCGAAAGTGCTTTTATCGTTGAATTATTAAATGTCTTCTGAAGATAAAATTGTAGCTGAACCTTTTGATTGTGCACTTTGTTCTGTAGCTGAGAAATGTACTTATTTTTCTGGTCGATTAGAGCCAGCAACGTTTCCGAAATCGCCATTTCATCAAACTCGTCATGCTTTAGAACAGAGTGAAATGAATCGGTTTGTATGCATCCCTCTTTCTTAACATTATCCATATCTGAATATAGATCCGTACTATTGCTGTTTTTATCGGCAATTTGTACCACGAACTTCTTGAACATGTCAGAACTTTCACTATCGTACGGGATCAACGGTTCATCACCTTTTCCTGAATGCTCCTCCACTCTGCTACTGATATCATCTTCAATGACATCTTTAAATGAAACACTTTTAATGCTTGACGACCTTCTACCAACACAAGACCAATTTGAGTTCGATTTGATGCTATTAACTGCAGATTTGGCAAAATTGAAATCGATCAATTTGTCAGAGGCGCAGTTACGAGATTCGATAGGTTTCGCTTCTTTTATGACTGGTGCACCAAGTACGTTTTCTAATCCTTTTTCTATTACGTTTTTTAGCTCGCTCAGATTGAATCCTTCAAGTTTTTCTAGGCTTTTTATAATACTATCGTAGTCACAACTTGAATCGACCGAACTGGTAATATCGTCGGTATTTGAAGACATTTTTAAATTTAATGAAGTCACTGGATAATTTGGCGAACGAAAGAAAATTAATAAGTCGAAAAAGAAAGTACAAAAAGATTTAGGTGAAGCTTTACGTCAAATATTGACATGTAAACAGAAGCATTCTTATATCTAGAATGCTTGGTATGTACCCTTATCTAGAGACTGCTTATGGACCAATTATTCAGTTTGTTCATCGAAGGTGCGATTAATATTGTTAATGATAGGATAGCTTTAGGATAGACATATAGGGACAAAAATATTATTTAGCATTCACTAGGCAGGAGTTAGAATTAACTTTAAATAAAATGGAAGCGGTATTGACAGAAGAGTATGGTGTGGAAATTAATAAAACTGAAACAAAAATATTGGTATGTTAGAGATTTAAAAGTAGGGTTAGAAATAATCATAAAAATAAGAGATTAAAAACTAGAAGTAAGTAGTCGCTGATTTTCGATATTTACGGAGTCAGATAATTCAGGATGCAAAAACCGATAAAGTTATAAAACAGAGAATAAGTAATAAGGTCGGGTCGCTTTTAACAGAAATAAATCGTAAAAAGAAAACGAAGTTAATTTCGCCAATTACAGACCAATGATTTCAAGTTATTGTTGTCTTATTGTAGTGAATCAGATTTGTAAATTCTAATTGTTTATTTGTAGACCTGAAGATGACCAAAAACAATGATCGAAACGTCGTCATTGCAATGTTAAAAAAATAGAGAGTATCACAAATAAAATTTGGTCTGTAATTGGCGAAATTAACTTCGTTTTTTTTTTATTTGGATACGAATACAGACGAGATTAGCTTTTAAACACACAAGAAATAAATCATTTTTGTGTTCGAGGTTGGTTAATATAAAAATTTGAAAATGATTATTAATTGGGCATATACATTTGGAGTACGACTTTATATAGATGTGAAATTTGCACGGTGGGCGCTGCGAAAAAGGAAAAGTTCCCTTCCTTTCCACTGAATGTCAAAACGGTGGTATCGGTATTGCGCAAGTCTTAAAGAAGAAATCGAGAATGCACGTTCTTACAGAGCACTCGGATTGATTATCGGTGTCTTGGACAGGCCTTCACCTCGGGAACTGCTAAGCTCAGATACCCTACAACCCTAGATTTTGCCTAAATCCAAGACAACAAGGACCAGCGTCGATTGTGCCTATTACAGAGCAATCTAGTGCCTTCGACACCTCAAATGCCTGCCCCACACGATGGAGGAACTAAGCTTGGATACCAGTCCAACACGCCGTGACCTGACACCTCAAACGCTTGCCACCATGAAGCAGTGACCGGCTTGGACATATACCGAGCGGCAAGGCCTAGAGGTTTTAGAGGTTTAGTCCATTTCTTAGCATTCGGGAGGACGCCGGTTCGATTCCGTGTCCGTTAGCCTTGGTCCAAGTTTTTCTGTGCTTTCCTTGAATCACTTAGGCAAATGTTTGGGGCAGATAATCTTTCATTCTCTTCTGTCTTCATTTCGTCCGTCTCATCTTTCTCACCCGAACCACCACCCACTCATTCTCACGATTCCTGAAGGGAGGCTGAAGAGGGCCTTCCGCTCTACCTTCCGACGTAGTCCGGAAGGACTGCCCGCCCACCAGCATTACTGGCTGGTAGGAATGAAACACCCGAAAGTTTTTTTTTCGGATATTAATGACCTCCACGGTCCGATATTTCAAACGCTTTGGAGGTACAGTTTCGACACCTGAAGCTCACGTCCGACTTCCACGCCGGTGGGAATAGGTACACGGTCCCCGCATTATTACAACGACATAAGGCTAAGGCACGTCTATTAGTATATGCCGATGGTCCGCGATACGGACAGAGGATCTCCTTCTTAGCGGATTCAGTACATACATGATCTGAAGAGTTAGTTAGAGACATATACTTAATACTCCTATTATTTAACCCATGAAAGAATGAAAGGGTATGGACTTATCAACTAATTTCATATATACTATCCTTTCTTAAATCAACTAATAAAAATGAAGATAGACATTGAATAAATGACGTAAAACTGTAGAGTATAATTTGATAAAAGTAGCATTAAAAAAGGATAGCGCTATGCGCTAACAACCTCTGCTAGATCGAGTTAACGGTATTACTATACTTCGTTTAGTTTCTCTAGCGATGTGACCTTTAGCTTGACCGGCGCAAAGTAGAAAAGAACAGCACTAGGCCAGAAAAGAAAGGAGACATCTCTCGGCAAAGCTCTTAGCCGGTGAGGAGCGTCTAATCAGTACAGTACTGCACGGAAAAATTTGATCATTTTATCCACTAAAATTGCATTACTTAAATGTGCTGTTATTGGTATCAATTACTACTGAAAATATCAACGAGATGTTTATTTATATTTGAAGACGTATTAAAGGCTTTAACGCTTGTTTTCGACACGCACTACTATTCATGATTGAACAAAACTTTTGGTAGGTACTGTATGAAAAAGTATCTTTAATGAACAACAGCAGAGAGTATAATGAGCTTTTTTCTCTCTACCTACGATTTTGCTAGCTCGCATCCAAGACATTGGAAGGGGCACATCGCTAGAGAAAGTAAACGAAGAAGAGTGTATGAATCAATAGGAGTTAAGTGGGGTAGTGGTAGACCTACGTTAGATTAATGTTCGCACTATAGTTAAGGATGTAGATTGCTTTAGTTTTAGAGAAATGTGAAGATTGGTAATATTAATTGTTGACATATATATGATGTTTATTTACGTATGTACTTAACAAAACTTAAATTTCTGCTTTTCGCATCGCGCTAGCTGTACATGTAATTTTGAACAAGAAATTGGATAGAACTATTATTAAACACGGCACCAACCCTCCCTTGATAAACTTTAGCGTGTTGCCGTGTTCAGAAATTAATTAAAAACATTGCGAGGGGAATTATCTACAGCTTTTCTGGAAGATAGGCCGCCCCGATTTTGCGAAGGGGAACTTCCTGAAGCGATTTCTTTTAAATTAGTTTCAGTTTTCTTTTTTGTTGGAGGAAATCATTGCACGGTTATATGAGTCCAAATTTTGCTATCTAGATGAAGCAGATAATACAGCGTTTTAATGCTATACTTCCTTTACAGTCAGTTTTAGAGGAACTAAGTACCCCAGTAGCACAACAATATTGGTAAAATATTATATTTACATATTGGTTCAATGATGGAAACGTCAGATTTTTTTTATTGGCCCAATGTAGATTTTTAATATTAACCCAATATTGAAATTAAATATTGTTCCAATGTTAGGAAATAATAAATGTGCAATATTTATTTGAAAAATACAGCCAATATTTGTTTTCCAGATTGGTCCAATATATGTTTTATATATAGTTACAACATATCATGTATATATAGGCACAATATCTACCCCAGTACCACAAAAATATTGGTAAAATATTATATTTACATATTGGTTCAATGATGGAAACGTCAGATTTTTTTTNTTTTGTCAATGTTGGGTCAGTATTGGATAAATATTCTATATAAATAAAGGAAAAGGTACATCCCTTGTATATATTGCCAATATTGGATAAATATTACAAATCAATATAAATAAAAGTTATTGTCAAATATCTTTTATTAATATTGGATAAATATCGGATAAACATTGTATTAAAATATAGGAAAAAGGTATATGTCCTATATGTTACCAATATTGGCTATAAATTGCCAATATTGGGCCCATATACAATATTGTACCAATATAGAATAAATATTGGGCCAATGTCGTGTGCTACTGGAATAGTTTGTCCTTGTGTCCTTTGTCCAACATAAGGTAATAAAGAGACTTATCTTATTTATCTAGTAAGCAGACGAGATGGGTAAAAAATATATCTGTAAATCGCCTGTAATTTGTCTTGTTACAATAGTTTCTACATTTTTTTGTCGAGAGCACTAAGAAATCAAAATATTCTGAAAAGAAATATACCTAATTAGTTTATAAACTTTATATTTTTATGTAGATACTAATGAAAAGCTTGCGCTAATAAAAAAGCTCGTGTATTTATAAAGAAATTATGATAACAACAAAAGCACTAGAAATAATAATAATTTTTGTCATTTACGTTGGGGCAATTCGAGTATAACGTAAACACCAAAGAAGGGTGAGAGGTCTCCGCTTTACTTATTCGTGGTGGGGTGGGGGTTTGGATGGTGATTACAACGCAACGTCGAGCAGCAAATTCAATGTCATCGAAAAATCGTAGACTGAGGACAAGTAATTTTAAATTACCAAATTTTTAAATAGAAAACAAAAATTACTATTGCTTATATGTTTTTAAAAAATAAAAATAATACTTATTATGTTATTATATATGTATTTTCAATGTAACTCCGAACAATCTACATATAATACGAGTAATAAAATGATAATGGATTCACCAAACAAAAATTCAAACTACTTCTATCTTGCCCAAGCCTAGTGTGTATTCATTTTATTCAAGTTTATCAAGGTCAGATCTCTAACCGTTTGAAATGAATTCTAAAACTAATCTTCCGATTCCTCGGATACAGTATATTCCTGCATAAAAGATACCCTATATCTTTTTCTCTGCCCTTCACAATACGTGTACAAAATTTCATGATGATCGGTTGAGTATTTAAGGTGTGAAATCGTAACAAACAAACAAATTCACATTCGCATTTATAACAGTAGTTAAGTTGAATATCGCCGCGATTTTTTGCGAAGCCCCGTATTTGGGCCTTTTGAACAACTTCTTCCTATAGGTAAGTTTTTTCGATTGGAGCCATATTTAACATGGCTGCCATTCAAACGAAACCTTAGTTTTTCCATTTTTGAACACTCTGTATAATAAATCAATCCTGGATAATACAGACCATCTTGCATTAAATTGCGTATTTTTTGGGCCACCCTGTACATTGTAAGTTTTTCAGATAATAGTAAGCTCTGAGTTAACAGAATTGTTAATTGTATTTGCATCTATGAATTTAATGTTTGGTATGTAAGTTATTGCTTACATATCTCTCATTTTCTATCCCTTTCAATCTTACGGTTTCCTTCTCTTTCACCCTGAGGTCAATCAGTAGCCGTTTGTAACTTGTCACGCCTAACGCTGTAACAAATTCGTCCATTAAATTAGAATATATTAATGG